CTACTTCACAGTTAGGGCGGCTAGGATCTGGAACCAACTTCCAAGGGAAGTGGTGCTGGCTCCTACCCTGGGGGTCTTTAAGAAGAGGCTTGATGCCTATCTGGCTGGACTCATTTGAGTCCACTTTTTCTCCCGCCCAGGCGGGGGGTCAGACTTGAAGATCTACAAGGTCCCTTCTGACCCTACTTGTATGATTCTGTGATTCTATGATTCATTAATTTCTGTCAGCTTTGGCAGCGAGAGCAGCCTGGTTCAGCTGCTGTCTCTAGATGGGAGGGGGAGAAGGCAAGAGAGGGATGTCCCTTCTGGGGTTTTCTTAATCCCTTTCTGGGGTTTTCTTCCTGTTGGATCAGGAGCATCAGTCTAACTCATGTCAATTTCTATGTATCGCCATGAGCTAGACCCAGGAGCTGCACTTCTGTCTGAACCCTAAGGTACTCAGTTTTACGTAATCAGTGTAGTTTAGATCAGTAGCGAACAGAACATACATCCGCTCTTTGGTCTGGGGTGGGAGGGGGGCAAATCTTAGACCAGGTCCCACCATTTGGAAACCAGTATATGTGTGCCAGACTTCTGGTCTGTTGTGGGTATAGCCCAGTTTTGTGTGTCGAACTTCTGTTCTGCTATGGGTATAAACCATTTTTTGATTGCTTATACTCGTAAAAGTGTAGTGTCTGTAACTGGCTTTAGAGTGCAACTTTGAAATTTGGAGTCGTCGCCTCCAAAGCTATCAAGATTCCTCCCAGGATAATGTCCTTATGACCTGACACTGTGACTAAAAGAAAGATGTCTTCCTCACCTTCAGATTTTTTCCTTCTTTTTCTGTAATTTTCAGCAATTAAAAATAACATAGCAAATGTTCAACAAAACTCCTAAGTCCACACTGTCCTTGAGCAGGCTCTGAAAAATTTTGAAATACTGATTTCATGGTTCATAAATGCACGTGTTGGATATATTTCCATAGGGAGTTTAAGCAAATAAAGATCTACATCTAAAGAATCTTCTTCTTCTGTATGGCTAGGGCAAGCAACAGCACAGAAGGTGCAGGTTAATTAAAGTTGTATGTTGCAGTCTGATAGCCAGTTAATGACATCCATGCTAGCTAGTGGATTGCTTCAGTCCCTCCATGCTTTGCAAGTTCAGGGCAGGAGTTTGCAATGTGGCTCACTTACATGTGGCGCACATAGTTCAGAGAGTCCTTGATGCCCATAGAGCTAAAGAATCATGCACAGTTAATAAGTTAAGATACAGAATAACAGATTTGAAAATGGCTGAGCTTCCTTTAGCTCTATGCCATGTTTCTGGCACTCCTGAGCACAATCTGACTGCCTGTTCCTGCTTGAATGAACCAAATCCAGAGGTGCAGTGGTGAAGTTCCTCTGGGAACATCCCGCATTGCCATTCTTGATATCTCTATGCCCACTATGCTTGAAAAAGGACACCTCTGGAGTGACTTCCCCACCACTTTTCTGGATTTGGCACATCTGAATGGGAACACAAGAGTGGGGGATACACAAAAGCCAATGCCTCTGGAAGCACTGGGGATGTGATATAGACATGTCATCAGAGGACACGTTCCATCTAGATTAGCAAAAACTGAAACCTTTGGGGTGATGCTAACTGCATCTTGATGTGACATTCTGTTGCTGTTTTGCTTTCATTTTAAATGTAAATGAGGACAGAAAATATATTTCTGGTTTTCCTAGAAAAATGGGAAAAGGTCCCCAGTCAGACATTATGAAACACTTAATGACTAGCTGAGTCAGCAGCCCAAAGTCAGAGTGTCAGTGATACCAGGGAACAGAGAAGATGTTTGTGGCGTGAAGCAACTGCTCACTGCCTGGGAAAATCATCTTGTGTTACAGCCCACACACATCCAAGCAACTAAAACAAGGGATAGGCAAGGAGGCCTTATATCAAAAGGACAACCTCCCAACTCATCCTGGAGACTTAGCAGCACCAGAAAGATCACATCCGGCATGTCAGTTTTGTTGATTCAACTAGGCTGGTATATCTACTAGGATATGAGAAAATGAAGTAAGGAGGAGGTCTAAGGCACAGACTTAATTTTTTAGGCCTTCCATGGGAATTAAAAGATGGGCAGAGAGAGGAAAGAAA